GAACCACTGTTACGAATACAAGTATATAACCTTTCTTGCGGAAAAAACCTTCTAAAGGAATCAGATAGATTTTTTGACTCACACAGTTGTTGAATGATTTGCTCCTCCTCCTCTATATATGCCGGACAGGGCGAGGAAATCTCCACCTATCCAACCATTTGTGAGGAGCTGCATTGAAATCTCCCGCCATGACTACTAGGATCCCATAAAGGATACGACCCCTAATGTGCTGAAAAACCTGTTTACGTTTCTGAACTTCATTTAGGACATTTATAACATAAATTATCTCTATTTCAAACATCACCAATGTAGCGATCCATCTTCCTTGCTCCTCATCAGCCTCCCAATGTACTATATCAATGTACGATTCGGGGGGAACCCATAATGCAACACCCGCAGACCCACTACGTGGGGCATATGTTTGATACTTCTGGTAAGGCCATGCTAACTTATGGGCCCAAACCTATGGGCCCAACAATGTTTAGGAGTGTCAGTGAGGTGAGTCTTCTGGATGCAAATCAAATCTGGCCAAGAACGCCCCCCCACCCCTTTCAATTGCTCCATGATTGATCTCCTCTTAGCAGTATATGTGGTTGCCAATCCATTAACTTTTTGCGATCTTAGGTTTAAGTATGTTGTCCTGGTAGCTCGAGACCAAGATGGATTTTTCCCATAATATGCATGTAGAGCTTCCATCTATCCCAACTACAAACCTAACATCTTTCCTAAAGGATATTTCTAAATTATCACCCAACTGCCTCCTTCCAGTGAAGAAGTTGTAGTGAGCAAACCTCTTTTAAGAACCGAAGAAAGGAAAGACACGATTTTTGTCACTGACCATACTGCAATAACTTTGATCTTTAATTGCTGAAGCTCGAGCAATGCAGCATGCGAATACCATTTAAGCCCGACTTTCTTTTTTTCCTCAAAGCGTACAAAAGAATCCCTCCAAACCATTTTTGCTTGGTCTCCTGATTCTGTGAGTGTAGCTTGTGACCCTGGATCAAAATGTTTAGCTAGAAAGTGTGTAAATCTCTTTTGAAAGTTTTGTCCCTCGTGCTTTGGTATTATGTATACGTAGTCCACCCTTTCAAGGTTATTCCCCCAAAATGTCCCAGTCCAATGGGGGAGAGTCCAATCTCCTATTTTCCATTTTGAATTTGGGCGGTCCTACAGCAAGATGATGGGGAAGTCTACCATCCGTTTGAGTTTATGTTAATGAGGGTGTCGTGTGAGAAAGTAGCAGATTCGGTATATGAGAGGGAGTTGTATGCACTCTATGAGGCCCTTTAAGGTATACTCAGGTCATGGGGAGCTGCGGTGGTTGAAAATGCAGGTCTGGATGTCCACTAAGTTGCAAAGTTGGGCTAGGGGCATTGATGAGTTCAATTTTGAACTCAAACTAGTGAAAGGTAAATATAACATTCTGGCTGATGCGCTATCTAGAAGAGGAGATTTCTTTGCAGCCATCACTATGTACCTCAACACGGGAATAAACTTGCAACAACATATAAAAGAGGTCTACAATGATGATTGGTAGTATAGGGAGATCATGAAAGGAGTTGTGGAGAGGCTGTAGGATTATCCCTACTATCGAATAGCAGATCTACTATAGTGAAAAACTTTGGATATCAAAGACAGACTGTGCATCTTGGATAGTAAGCCTATTAGAAGTACCATGTTGGGAGATCGCCACAGAGTAGAGGGGCACTTCTGGTTGAAGAAGACCTTCGCTAAGTTGATTCGATCATTTATGTGGCCCAAAATGAAAGCATATTGTACCTGGTAAGGCACCAACGCAGGCCCCATTAGGACTATTGAAATCATTACCGTTTCCAACGAGGCTCAGGGAATCAGTCTTTATTGACTTCATGGACATTGCGGTAGAAGCAAGAATAGTTAGATTATGGTGACAGTCGATAGATTTAGTGAGCACATTGTGTTTGTACCATTGAGGGTGCAGGCTAAGTCGGAATTGGTTACTAGAGAGTTCTTTAAGAATATGGTCAAGGATAACAACCATCCGCTTACGCTTGTTAGCCATTGTAATATTTGGTTAGCATATTAGTTTCCTACTATCTTCTTTGACCTTTCCTCCCTGCAACGGTAGTGGCAGGCTAGTATTTTCTTGGTTGTTTCTTTTTCTTTTCTTTTTTTTTTTTTTCTTTTTTTTTTTTTTTTAATAGCTTTGCCAATCGTGTATTCTTGTATTATGTAGGTATTAACCAAGTACATCTTCTGATTCCTAAACCTCACATCCTAGCTACGTACTTTGAGCTATCGAACCTTGAGGGGGTGTAAAATTTGAAATACTAAATTCCCAATTTCCAAACCTGTGAATTCCTGACCTTTGTTCCGAAAAGGATTCTGATTCCCAAAACTTTGAATTTCAGATTCATAATCCCCACGTTTAATTCCCGCAGCAGAATCTCTTACGTTAATTTTGGAGTTGTAATCCCGAATTCATTTCAGAAGGGGTAAATCTTGACGGTTAAATTCCTTCAATTTTGAAGGTGTCCAAACGTAATCTCAAAGCTTTTATAAGTGGTTCTCTTTGAAGCTTAAATACCACTCCCAAACTCTAATTCCTGATTTAGGTTTTTGATACTTGAAATCTTTTATTTGGTACTTCGCTTTCTTGCTGTGAGTCTATTGACAATTGTCACTAATCCAGCTTGATTGTAATGGATGATGTTTGCTACCTTACCATCGTGTAAGTTTCCCAGTATCTCCTAGAGTTGTTACAACTCTTAATCCTAGGTCCTTATTCATTGTTTTCAAAGTCTCCATCCAATTCCTTATAGTTCTCCTTCTTATGATTGTTCTTAAAGTCCAGCAATCTGAACTGGATCATTCTCATCTGAAACGGTTTTCACCTCTTTGCAGTAGCAGATGCAGATCTCAGGGTTCGATCCCTAGACCTTGCCCTACCTGTGTAGACCCCGAGAGTTGAACCTGTGGCCTGTGTATTCGTAAGCAGTTGGTAGGCTGTCCTAGGTCCGTAGGTAGCAGGGGTTCGATCTGTAGACCTGTAGAATAGAAGTCTTAGCGAGTTCCAGAAGTCTTAGCTGTAGTCCTTCTAGAAGGTC